CCCCCCGTATGGCAGGGGCCTGTGGTGGGCACAGCACAAAATGGCTGCCACAAAACGGCTGTAACAGAAGGCGGGGCCAGCCACAAAATGGCTGCTGCAGCTTACTTCCAGTCACATCGTGAAGATCCTGGTGCTGTGGTAGCAACTGCTGCCAATTAATTTTTTTTAAAAAATCAATCTGCACAGCCAAACAAATCTCAATGGATGATAATGTGAGCAACAATGTAATCATACAGTGTAAGACATACCAATGCTTTCGACACGCACCAAGTGGTGGTGGTCTGATGGAGACATCATACCATACCTGTGTGGTTGGCTTTTGCATGAAATGACATATGCAGGAGCAGTGGCAGCATGCATTCTATCTGGAAACCTTATTCTAGCGCCGCATTTGTTGCAAGACGGTTTTGATCATAAGCATTTTTACCTTGCTATCCTTTCGGCCACAATCTTATTTCCCTGCTTCAAACTAACTCAGTTTTGTGTTCCAGGCAGAGATGATTCACGAGGACATCGAAAGTGCACTTGCTGACCATAAGTTTGGAAAGAAGATACGGCCACAGACGCTCAAGTAAGTGGCTGCTGTAGACAGACAGGCTCCAGCATGCAGCCTGGGAAGAAGCATGACTTCCTCTACAGTAGAGAAATCACAAGGCTGTCTGACCCACCCTGAATTTCATTTCCTGTCCATTTTTTAATTTAGTGAAGTTTTAGGTGTGTACTTTGGGTATGAACTTCTGATGATTAATTGCTGAGCAATAATGCACAGCCTTGTAAGATGTTGTTCAGCTTCAATGAGGGCAGAGAAATACGACTTGTGCCGTGTGAATTTTCTTTGGCATTCCAGGGATTTAATTCTGTTAGGCTAAAAACCAAGGAACATCCGTTGTTCTGCTGGGTCCCATTTATAGTTGAAAAATCTGGGAAGATACCAACATGAACCCACATATAAACTTACCTTCAACAGCTTGTTTCTTTGTACTTAGCCACTGTGAAACTCCCCCCCCCCCGATCAGTCTGAATTTCAGCCCAAACTTCATAGTTCACGGGTACGGTTTTCTCTTTCACTGTTAAAAAATAGGAATCACTGGGATTGGTAGTCTGTAAACTGAGGCCCCGGTCACACGGCAAAGTTGCCGCGGGAGAGGCACGGATGGTGGGTGGATTATCCAGGCGCGATCACACCCCAACATCTGGGAAGTGGAGCGCACCCGTGGCTTACCGCCGACAATGTGCGTTAAAAAACTAGTACCTCCAAGGTACTAGTAAACGTTTGCCACAGGCTGCCTCCAGACGCCAGTGGTGTGATCGCACCGGCACGCGGCATTCCCCTCTAGTCCCTCGTTTAACCGCCGGCGCTGAGGGGAGGACCCGTGGTGTGCCGCAAGCGCATCTGATCGCGTAATCGCGGATCAAACTGTGCCGGGGCAATTAGCCACGCCTCCCCACCGCAATATCTGGCCCTTGTGGCCAGGGCCTGAACCTTACTATCTACTACTCAATGGCATGGTGGTCATTTTTGCATGGCTACGTCTCAAGTTGCTGCACTAATATTTAATGCAAGAGGTTATATTGATGCCTCAGTGGGTAACGCTACTTCCTACTGTATTACTGCCCTTCCCTGGAACCAATGATACTTGCATGGGTAGCTACAGGATCCAGTCCTCCTGGTCTCCCAGTTAGCTAACCCTTCCTTTGTTAAGCAGGTTGGTGGCATGGTCAGTTGATGCTTGATCAGGGGTCATTTCGTAGAAAAAGAGGTGCAGGAGCTCATTAGCATAACCTATTAGCATAACTCATTAGCATATGCCACAAACCCTGAAATCACCGGAAGTGTGTCAGAAGGCAACACCCACCACTCAGGCTCCACTGGGCTGTTTTGGATTGCCTCACAGAGGAAGGAGAGCTTGTACCTGAATAAAACTTGGTCTTAAAGGTGCCACTGGACTGTTTTGGGCCAGGGGGCTGAGGGGTCTCTGTAACCTACCTGGCTGCTTCTTGCTCTGACTGAGGGCTGCTGGGAGCAGGGGGTGGGGCTTGTTGCATGTGCCCGCCCTCTGGGCTCTTTACTGCCGGTGCTCCGCTCCTGTGCGCTCCTGCAGGAAATGACCCCTGTGCTTGATCAATGGAAGCTAAAGGTTAGGAGATGGTCTCCTGGTGGTTGAGAGTTGTTCTATGCTATTTGAATTACTTATTCCTGAGGATTTAGGGAAACGGACACCCTTTCAGCTGAGAGGAAAAGGGTAGCGATATAGCAGAAACAAGGGACTGGCCGTTCTTGAAGTTAGAGTGGCAGAAGGAGAAAACGGCATGTTTCTACCTGACAGCGCAGCTTTGGAGCCTGTTCAACTTGCTCTCTGGGGATCTGTCTTTTAGGAGTGCCTGTGTGCTTCCGTTTGTCCTCTGCTTGTGTAGTGGTAAATAACAAAATATAAAGACGCCATAGGGGCCAGACTGCATCATCATATATCCTGATGGACAAAGTTTGAGTCCAGGGGCACCTTTAAGATCAACAAAGCTTTATTCAATCTGTTGGTCTTAAAGGTGCCACCACTGGACTCAAATTTTGTTCTGCTGCTTCAGTTCAGCACGGCTACCCACCTGAATCTATATATCCTGATGGCTTTGTTTTAGCTCAAGGCCTTTAAATTTGGTGGAATGAGCTCCCGGGGGAGATCCGGGCCCTGCGGGACCTTATGCAGTTCCGCAGGGCCTGCAAGACGGAGCTCTTCCGCCAGGCCTTTGAGTAGGAGCCGCCGCCCCACTATACCACCATTGTCATGGTTCCTTAAAGGATGTACCGACGAGGCCCTGAAGAAGAACCTGGACAACGTAAAGAAGATCCAATAAGCTGTCGCCATTGGGCATAAATATCATGGGAGTACCACCTGGAACTGTGTTGATTCTACCCTAGACGTATGAGATTAGTAATTGACTGAGCACCATTGTTTTAAGTGTTGGATGTTTTTATCATGTTTTATATGTTTTTAATTATGGCACGGCTAATTACCCTGCCCTAATTACCCTGAGCCCACTGGGGAGGGCAGGATATAAATGTGAAAATAAATAAATAAATATAAATAATAAATAAATTTGACTGAAGCAGTAGCCCTACAGTAAGGGAAGTTTTACCCTTTCCTCAGCTCCTATTTTCTTAATGTAAATCACTCCCTTCTTACGCTACTTTTAGACCTATGGCAGAAAAAAAAAAGGTACTTTTCCCCCCCCCCCGAGGGGGGG